CCCTGCCAGTTCCCCATTAGAGCACCTGAAAAAGGTTCCAACTTTATCGGCGGTGGAGGTGGAGGTGGGAGTGGGAAGTAGACGGGGGAGTATGTGGAGAAAAGATGAGCGGCTTTGCTTGTTGCCTTTTTTAATGGGATGACGATCAGAAATCGTGTGCACACTGTTTTTTATTATTATTATTATTTTAGATAATATATATTGCAAAAAGATTAATATGATCCGATTATTTTGTTGGATGATTTTAATCTCGTATTTATATGAATATATGATTGTTGATAAGGAAATTATTAATATAATTTATTTTAAACGGTGGCTATTTTTTAAAAATTTAGTGTGATCTCATCAAATCATTATTTTGAAATTTAGCAAAGCATTGACAACTTCCTTACGTAGCAGGGAAAAGAGTCAATAGTTGTACAAATTGTGCACCACGTAGGTCGTTGTTGGTCATATAAATCGTAGTCGTGAGTTATGCTGTAGTTTGTAGGTCACAAGGATAAGAGTCAGGAGTTGGACAAGTTGCAGACCGCGTAGGTCATAATTTGTTATGTAAGCTGCAGTTGTGAGCTGAGTGACGTCGATTGGGCGTAGGGGCCGGTGTCTGGAGCCACATGAACTACGAACCATGTAGATCGTAGTAATGAGTTGCAATGACATCCGTAGGTTGTAAAGACCAAAGTTGGGAGCAGAATGGATGGAGCTTTAAGAGTTCATAAAAGGTCACAGTCTTTGGGGTTTATTGTTATAGCATCTTCTAGAGGTGTCGTTGCTTCATAAGAGAGGTGCACCTTATGAGAGGTGTGTTAATTTAAAATATGTGTGCAATGCATATTGACTTCACAAGAGACTTCACTATAAGGAGTAGGTTGCGACCCATGATGGTCGACTATGGTTGGCAGTAGTGATCAGAGTGGGTTGGAGGCGGTGGCATTCAAAGTTGGTCAATGACATTGGTCGGAGTTAGCGGACAACATTGGCCAGAGTTGGCAGTGAGGGTTGTCGGAATGGCAGGCATTTGTCGGATATGTGGCGCAAAATCAATCTCGAGCTTCAGCTCTCTCTTCTCCAAGCTTTATCCTCTCTCTTGCATAGGGTCTAGTCCCTCCTCAAGAGCGAGGTGAGACTTTATATATAGAGTCAACATTGCATATGAGAAAGGAATTCGAACTATCCTTGATCGAAAGACCCAAAGAGACCACTTTGGTAGGAAGGCGTTTAATGGACATTTAAGTGCTTTAATAATGTCAAATTTGACCAAACCTGGGCTAGTTAGATTTACTTCATTGAGATGCTCAATTTTACTATAAACATGTATGTCAGGAAAGCCCCAAAAGTTGTTTAATTGCTTGATCGGGGTTTAATTTAACTTAGATTGAACCAATTTTCGTATCATTGAGTCAATCTCGTCAAACTGGTTAATTTGACTATGAGTTTGCTGAAATCGAGATTATGGACGACTTTTAGTCAAAGCTTTAACATTTATTGTCCAAAAAATTACCTAATGATCTTTGTCATGTCTTTGGATTCGCGATAGATGAATGAACTTTAGTGATGATGTATCAGTTGCCCTCAATTTTTAGGCGAGACCAACTTTGTTGCCCAAAAATATCAAAATCCAGTTTGTATTTATATAAGAGTAAAATATACCTATAAATTGTAGTAAAATGAGGAAGGCTTGACTGACAATGAGTTGATTCTTTTGTTTGAGGTCATGTGTTCAAATTCCTTGGCCTTCAGAAAATTGAATTATTTTTTTGTCCCTAGAGGATGTGTTGTCTAGAGTTGGTTAATGACGGTCAAAGTTGGTAAGAGTTGGAGGCGGTCGGAGTTAGTCGGAGGCGGCAGTGGTGGCCACCGCCCACTCCTACAGCAGGCCCTTGCAACCCGTCATCTCCAAATATTGCATTCATTACAAGCAAATTACAACTATTATCAATGAATTACTATTGTACATTTATAAGAATCAACACTATAGCTGCGTCTTCTCTATATCAAGAGAAGAGTGGACTCGTGTACTCACCATTCATATTGGATTATTCCACTTTGCCTATTGAAATTGATCCTGCAACAAATTATTCTGCAAATTCCTCTGCAAATCCTTGCTCAGAATCTTTTCAAAAAGGAAAAGAAGGATTGAAAAGATCCCTTAATTAAGTTGCTTTAATAAAGTTTTCCAGAAAAGCAACAATTTTTTTTAAAAGAAAAGATTGAAATATTTTCATAATTAAGCTTCCTTAATTAAGTCCCCATTAGTTAAAATATTTCCTTTAATTAATTAAATTTCAAATGGCAACTTCTGGTGCAAAATTCGAGGTGGTGAAGTTCGATGGAACTGGTAACTTCGGATTGTGACAAACAAGAGTAAAAGATCTGTTGGTTTAATAGGGAATCTTGAAAGCTTTGCGGGCACCAAAACCAAATGCCATGGAGGATGAAGATTGGGAAGAATTGCAACAACGAGCGGCAGCAACTATATGTCTATGTTTAGCAGATGAAGTTATGTATCACGTGATGAATTTAAAATCTTCAGAGGAGATAAGAAAGAAATTGGAAACTCAACTTATGGATAGATCTCTGATGAATAAATTGTATCTGAAGTAAAAGTTGCATGGGCTGAAGATGCAAGAAGGTTCTGATATGGCAGAGCATGTTAATGGTTTCAATCAAATAATCACATATTTTTCACAGCTTGATATGAATATTGAGGATGAAGACCGAGCAATGATTTTGTGGTGTTCACTACTTTCTTCCTATGAACACCTGGTGACTACTCTTACATATGGGAAAGAAACTATCAAAGTTGATGATATTACTGCAGCATTGTTGGCTCACAACCAGCGGAAGCAAAATGCAGGGGAAAGCTCTCATCGCAATAGTTTATATGTTAAAGGTAAGCAGGATCGTGGAAAGAAGAAAGAGAACGAGGGTTCTAGAAGGCTAAATTCTAGATCCAAATCGAAAGATCTTACGGGCAAATCCCATACCAAAAATAGTGCCGACAGTCATATGAAGAGAGATTGCCCAAAACTGAAGAAGCAGACTGGGGAGAAAGGTGATACATCATCGAAGTCTGTAAATGTGGCGCAGAATGACAATTCAGATTGCAGTGATGGTGATATGCTTTCAGTTTCATCAACTCAGTTCGTGGATAGATGGATTCTTGATTCAGGGTGCTCTTATCACATAACACCTAACAGAGAGTGATTTACTTCATACAGGTCAACTAATTCTGGCTCAGTTTATTTGGGTGATGATATATTTGCAATAATGTTGGTATTGGAGAAGTCAGAATTAAGATGTATGATGACACAGTTAGAATATTATGTGATGTCAGACATATTCCAGATTTGAAGAAGAATTTGATTTCCATGGACACTTTACATATAAATGGTTTCATTCCTAAGACAGATGAGGATAGGGAAACCATCAGAATTGTTAAGATTGCACTGACAGTGATGCTGATGATAGTATTATTGGCCTCACTTATGGTTGAGGTTTAGTTTTCCTTCTTTAGTAACCTAAGATATAGTCATAGGACATTATTGACCTCACTTATGGTTGAGGTTTAGTTTTCCTTCTTTAGTAACCTAGGATATAGTCATAGGACTTTCTTATTGATTATTCCTAGAAAACTAGAAAAGGAACCCTCACCATTAGAAATTCTACCCTCTTCTTTGCTCAACTTGAAGTTCCGCATATTGGTCCTAACCTCTAGCACATAGTTGGTGAGGTCACTATGAGGGAGCTCAAGGAGAGTCCCCCTATGACTGCTAGGACTATTTGACCTTAGGGTTGGCCCTGGGTGCTGGTCTGGAGCTAAGACACTCACTTTCACTCACTACACTCACTCTCTCACTTTCACTCACAATCACTCACAACCCTAAACCCAAAATTTCTTGACTTCGATCCCTTGATCTTTCGAGAAACTCATGTAGATGGTCCCCTAAATCCACTGGTCCTAAGCTAGGGTTTAGCTAAGACCAGTGTGTAGAGGACCCAAATGGGGCTTCCATTGGACCATAGCTCATATATGGTGGTTGGTACCCCAACCCTATCAAAATATTCAACTTGGCCTTTTGCCCCTAAATCCCCCCAGATTGCCTAAATACCTTTGAAACCCTAAATATCTTTGAAACCCCAAATTCACCCAAAAAATCCAAATTTGTTCAAAAATCATTTCAAACCTTTTGAAAATACCCAAGTTACCCAAAACTACCAAAAAATCCAAAAAATGACCAAAATTACAAAAATACCCTTGGCACCCCAAATATTTCCAAAACCTCCAAAATCAATCCAAATGTCTCAAATACCCTTAGCACCCCAAATTTTCCCAAAACCTCCAAAATAATTCCAAATGTCTCTAAAACCAATTTGGACCTTCAATTGAACCCAATTTGGTCAATTTGACCATTTTGACCAAAACCCCTAAATTGTCTTTAAGGAACCAATTTCCCCAAATTTACCTCAAATGTCCATCAATTTGAGCCCAATTTTCTTCAATTTCAATTCTAAACTTAGATTCACCTTTCATATGAGAAATATAAACCAAATACAAGCCTAATTGGCCCATGCTTTGAGCTT